TAATCCCAAGGGTCTTTTCCAACATGAATTGCTCTACGATTCTATGATTCTACAATCCTTAAAAGTATGAAAGTATTTTTCTATGGCAAACAAGACCACGCATCCTTTAGACATTGGCTTTGGAAACCAAGATCATTCTTAGATGCATTTGTCCTAGAAGTAAATATATATCCCACAAAAGACTGTAAGCAAAACTGTTGAAGTAGCTAGTAGTGATCTGACCCCAAGCTGTGGGATCTCTGTTGTCTGTACTATGGGGGCAAAGAGTTTCAAGTAACATGTCATTTGGCCATATTCACCACATACTGATGCCAAAAAACTGCCTGTAGTAGATACCTTTTCTAAAGTCACTGGAAGATATCCTACAGTGGGGATGTTCAACCTACCTTTCTTATAGAAACCAAGAGCATCATCATCCAGATCTTCATCAAAGATCTCCCTTCCATCTTCTACATAACCTACCCCATCTGTAGAGAAAAAAGTTGTTAAAAAATTTCATTTAAAATTCTGTCTTCCGGTATTTCTAAATACATTCACAATCAAAGGTTTTATATATTCAAACACTTTTTCATTTTAATATAGAGCAGAACTTATAAATGCAAAAAGCATTAAAAACTACTCTCAGTCGTATCTTCTATTAGATTGAATATATGATGTGTTTAATTTGAAATTATCAATTACAGTACTTCTTTATAGCTACATCACTGATAACTGGATTAAAATTTCAAAACTAGTTCTTAATGGAACAACATTTTCATTGCCATCCTAATACACTTCTATGAGAACAATGTAAAATATTGATTTTCCATATAAAAGTTTATTTTTTCTTGTCTCCTAAAACAATTTTTAAGAATATACTAAGTATAACTCATCTCAAACCATGAACACCATGAAGTCTAATTGAGTTATAACACCACAATCACAGTAACTCTCCAAACGAATCTTACCATCATCAACAATCCAGTCATCATCCTGACGTTCTCTGACCATCTTGGAGTATTCTTCCTCATCTACTTCATCATAAACACTTGTGAACTCCTCAACCTACAGTTAAGGTATACTGAGGATTAACATTTCCCATATCATTACTTATTAATACAGATCATCAGTAACAACATAAAAGTTCCCAACAAATGCATGGTTTCCTACAGTGCACTGTTCACAACTAGTAAGCGCAGTTATTCATTCAGTTTACGTTTCTTTTTTGGCAGTGACAAAAGACTAGTTATCGATTTCTAAAATTATCACAGCATACTGAAACTCAAAATCTACTGAAGCACTGGCAGAGATTTCATTTGAATCTGACTTGCTTTACTGCATTACCTCACATTAGGAAAAAATTTTAAAAAAATCTAGCAATGGAGACTTCTGATCTTTAGCTTAAGACCAAGATGAGGACAATGAAAAGAAAGCTGATTTGATGTGTTCAGTCTTTAATGCCAAAAATGCTCTTTTGTGTTTCAGAGTAAATGTGCATGTTAATCACCTACACACTTCAGGCTTCTTCAGATTTATCCACCTAAATGTGGAAGTCCCTTCCTGTTGATGTTACCATTAATTGAACAGTATCAGTGTTACACTTCTAGATTTCAATTCTAACAGTGACATACTTTTTTTTTCTTTGTGAAAACACAGCACATTAATATTAATGACTGCAGTCATGTAAAGCTTTGAAAATAAACTTAAATATCATAGGAAGTACTTTTTTGTTTTAACTTCACAACACTAATTGCACAACTAAATTTTAAAAGTTGGTCCTTCCCTACGGGATAGTTATCAAGGAGCATCAAGCACATTTGACATGTAGTTAATAAAATTGTATTAGTTTTGAAAATAGGAAGAAACAAATAAATTATACCAGAAAGCAGCAAAACAATTACAGTTACATTCTGAAAAACATACACTGTTAAAAAAAAGCTGATCTGAAAGGCAGATTTTGTTTCCCATATCTTTTAGACACATATAAAGGGTAGCTAAGCATCTCAGTTCACATCCTTTTTTATAAAAAATGATGAATTCTCACTTCATATTTTATTTTTTGACCGGCTTTGGCTTTTTTCAGACGTTCCAGTGCTTCTTGCTGGCTTCTTCTAGACTTGTTCTCACGTCTAGAACGTGATGCTGCAAAACTTCCAGACTCATGCATAGCTGCAATTAATTAAAAACAGTAAGTTTAGTAATGAGCTGCCGTTGCTTTGTACTTAGTGTTCCGTGATCTATTAAGAGATGGTCGCAGTTTTGCTTAAAATCAACATAGAGAGCTACTTGGCTAAAAGCACTCAGTCACAGATGGCTCTTAAGGAGCCAATTCTGGAATTACACTGAAGGCTTGGTCTCAGACACAGAGATCAAATAGACTTCGGGCCAGTTCTCACTCAGCAAGAAGCTACCACCTAGATTTCCAAAGCGTCTCTCAAAACCCATCAACCTTTATCTAAAAAGGATCCCCCCACTCCTTCCTTGGGAATTTCCAACTCCTTTTATTTTGCATGTCTCCATGACAACTCAGGAATAGACGGACTTAGAAAAGGCCTGTACTGCTACAACGCAGTAACATGGTTTTTTAGGTGGTTTCACAGGGTTTAAGAGCACGGCTAGATTGAGACAAACTAGTAATCTGTTGACAGCAGAAGACTGCCACCTCGTTTCCTCTGACACCTCCCTCCTTCGCACACACTTCCCCCAAAAAGGTGCTTCCCTCTTCTCCCGACCTTTTTCTCCCTCTTGAGTTTGGGCAGGGGACATTTATCCGACCACAGAGAACGAACACCCCCACACTAACTTAGGAAAGCAGACAACTACCCCAGGAAACGCGACTACGGGTACTGTGTGACACGCTGGACACCCCGGCTGCAGGCAGAGGAGGCCCAGGGCTGGTGCAAGCGGCCAGGCCAGGCCAAGGAAGGTCGGTCGGTCCCTTCTTGGCCACAGCAGGAGCCAAATCGCTAACGCGAGCTGCACCCAGGCAGCGCGGCCGGGGCTGGCAGAGGGGTTTGTCCTGCTAAAGGCTGGCACGGGCTAAAGTGGGGCATTTGCACTGTCTGGTGCTGGGAGAACGGGAAAATGCAACACTTAGGGTGTATTTATAGACAAGATCTTCCGCCGATTCTTTGCGCTCGC